AAATCAGACAGAAAAGTTTGCTTGCGAAGGAACCAGGTGAGCAGGGAAGGAGAAAGCTCCTCTGGAGAAAACTCCGGGAGGTGGGGTGGGGTGCCTCTCGAAAGGGCAGGAAGAGAGACACCCACATTTTTTTTCTCAGATTTTTTTTTTTTTTGGAAAGGCAGATATACAGAGGGAATGCTATCTTTCATCTGCTGATACACTCCCCTAGTGACCTCGACAACCAGAGCTGAGCCAATCCAAAGCCAGGAGCCAGGAACCCCTTCTGGGTCTCCCACGTGGGTGGAGGATCCCAAGGCCTTTGGTTGTCGTCTACTGCCTTCCCACAAGCAGGGAGCTGGATGAGAAGTAGAGCAGCCAGGATATAAACTGGTGCCCATATGGGATCCCTGCGCATTCAAGGCGAGGACTTTAAGCCATTAAGAGTACTGCAAGGGCCCACCCATCATGTACTTTTAAAAAATGATGTGTTTTATTGATTTGAAAACTTGAGTTGCAGAGAGTAGGAAAGATGGATGTCTCTCATCTGCTGGTTTACTCCTCAAATGGCTACAGTGTCCGGAGCTGGACCCATCTGCTGTGAAGAGTCGGAAACTTTGAGTATGCCACTGGGGTGTTTGGGTCCAAGCACTTGGATCATCGTCTGCTGCTTTCCCAGGTGCATTGGGTCAGAAGTGGAGTGGCCAAGACTCGAACCAGCGACATGAGGTGCTGCCAGCCGCCCATCTCCCACTCCTCAACCCCCCCTCCCCGGTTTGCTTTATGGAGTCCTGTTGTTACTGGGGATTTGATGATTTCTCATTTTGGTTCCATCAGTTTTTGCTTCACATATTTTGCAGCTGAATTGCTTATTGCATATGTATTTTAAATGGTTGTCTTTTTGGTGGTAGACTTAATTTTTAAATTTTTTATTATTTTTATAATTTTTAAAATTATTTTATTTTATTTTTAAATTTTTTGTATTTTAAATGTTATCTTTTTGGTGGTGGACTTAATTTTTAAATTTAATTTTAATTTTTAATTTTTTTATTTTGAATTTTTGAATTATGTGTTACAATTTCATATAGACTGGGATTTTCCCCCAAACTCCCACCCCCCGACAGATTTTCCCCGTTTTACTATAGTAGTATGTTACTATAGTGGTATAATCCTTCATTAATCTTTTTTCCATTATTTCATGTCCTTCTCTATTTCTGGTCATTTTCCTTGCTCTGAAGCCTCCTTTGTCTGATAGTGCTATAGACACTCTTTCCTCTAAGTACTATTTCCATGATACATCTGTTCCATCCTTTTAGTTTCAGCTGATCTTTGTTAGATAATTCTGCTGATTCTATCATCTTGGTGTTATCTGTTGATTATCTTTTTTTCCATTAAATATGGAGATCTTCCTACTTGATTTGTTGAATGATATTTTTTAAAAAATGAAATCTGGACCTTTTTTTTTTTTTTCTTTTTGTATTTCTTTCTGAAGTTCTTCGTTCTATTTGAGCTGGCTTTTCCTCCCATTGCTGTGGAAGGGCCCCTTGTTCCTGCCAAGTGAAAGTAAAAGCCTAGCTTGTGGAGAGCTGAGTGCAGTGGGGGAGGTACTTGATCTTTGGGCAGTGGTGGAGAGTGGGTTGGTTAACCACTGGTCCTGCTCCCAGCAGGGAGGTGCTGCTTCTGTGTGGGCGTGGCCATCTCGGCTCTCCCTGTGATTTCTGTGGCTCCTGCAGGGTGGAGAGTACTTGATTGACCAGTGGCCGTGGGAGTCTAGCTCCCTGCTTGGCCTTTTCTGAAGCTGCCCCACCCAGTAGGGATGTTTTGGATACTTTGTTACAGCCATATGAGGGTAGAAGTGTGGCTCCCCAAATGGCATTTGCAGATTTGGCTAGGGGTGGAGCCTTAGTTCTCTTCAGTAGTGTTTATCACAGTAAAGCTGTTCTTGCCACATATTTTCTGTTTTGCTAGACTGCCCTTTTTGTTCCTTTGGGTTTAGGAAGCAAACTTTTGCTAGAGCATCTTTGAACTTTTTGGCATTTCTGGGTTGCCAGCTTCCTCAGGTCCAGTCCTGGGATATAAGAAGCAAAAAGAAAACCCAGGAAACATCCCTGTGTTCCTTGTTTTCTGAAATCCTTACTTGGTCTATTGCCTTCTTTTTACTTTTTAAGGATTTAAAAAAAAATTTAGACTCTATTTATAAACATTTAAAATTTTTGTTTTATTTGAACAGCAGAGGGAGACAGACAGGGAGAGGAAACACATTTCACAGACTCATTCTCCAAATTCAAGTGGGAGCCAGGATCTCAGCCCAGGTTTTCCTTGTGGGAAACAGAGACCCAAGTTCTTGAGCTGTCCTCTGCTGTCTCCCAGATGCCCATATCAACGGAAAGCTGCATTGGAAATGCAAGGGCTTGGCGTCTGGGATAATAATGTCTAGGATTTTAAATTGTATTTAATGGGAAAAATAGAAGCAAAATTGATCAACTCTGTCCAAAAGGCCAAGTTTTTTTTTTTTTCAGTGTTCCAGAAGAACTTCTGTATCCTGAGATTCTGCTCCATTTTCTTCTGAACATATTAAAATGATCCTTTTCACAATTGTGGATCTAATCCTCTGGGATTTATCTTGTTTGTGACAGTGAAGTGAGAAAGGAACCTGGCTGCATTAGTGTTTTGCCTAGATGGCCACATTTCCTGGCACTTCTCCAAGCTGGTTTTGAGCTCTGGAGTCTCTGTCTGCTCCACCCCATGTGACACTAACGGACACAGGAGCCGTGATAAATTTTTGTAGAACAAGACTACTATCTTGTTGTACTTACTTGATGTTTAGTTCTGTCCCCTGAAGTTTAGTTAAAAAAGAAAGGGGCTGGTGCCATTGTGTAGTAATTTAAGCCTCTGCCTGTAGCCCTGGCATCACATATGGACAACGATTTGTGTCCCAACTGCTCCACTTCTGATCCAGCTCTGCATATGGTCTGGGAAAGCAGTGGAAGTACTGGTGCCTCTGTGCCCAGATGGGACACCTGGAAAATGTTCCTCTCCTGGCTTTGAATCAGCTCAGCTCCAACTCTTACTGCCATTTGAGGGAGTGAACCTGTGGATAGAAGATCTTTGTCTTTCCTCTTCTCTCTATAACCTGATTATCAAATGAAAATAAGTAAATCTTTAAAATAAAAGCAAGATAAGCAGTATTGACAGCAAATAAAACCCTGTTGCAATTGGCTTGGATTTGCATTGACTTTGAATATGCCATCTGCTTCAGTAGCTTTTTTTTCTTTAGTTGTGTTTATCTAACTTAGGTTACCTAAGTCAAAATGGAAAAGTAGTCATGATGGCTTTGGTCACTGGCAGGTACCTGTTAAGTCCCACAAGGTTTGTGTGTGGTGGCTGCTAGCTTTAGAACAGCTGTCTTATACGCCTGAAGCCAGTGGGTAGTTACTGAATTTCTCTGTGCAGATTATGCTTTTTAGTTTTTTCAAAGACATTTTAAACTGTGTTAGTTTAATTTGCCACAAGGCTTTTTCTGTAAACACATGCACACGGGCCCAGCGTGGTAGCCTAGTGGCTAAAGTCCTCGCCTTGAGTGCTCCGGGATCCCATCTGGGCTCAGGTTCTAATCCAGGCGACCTTGCTTTCCTTCCAGCTCCCTGCTTCTGGCCTGGGAATGCAGTCAAGGACAACCCAAAGCTTTTGGACCCTGCACCCACGTGGAAACCTGGAGGATGCTCCTGGCTTCAGATTGGCACAGCTCCGGCTGTTGTGGCCGCTTGGGAGTGAGCCATCAGACAGAAGATCCTCCTCTCTGTCTCTCCTCCTCTCTGTATATCCGCCTTTCCAATAAAAATTAAAAAATAAATCTTAAAAAAAAAAAAAAAAGAAAACACATGCACACATTTTCTTTTCCCCATAGATTGTTTCAAAGTGAATTGCACAGTGTTTGGCACTTCATCCTTGAATACTTCACATTGGCACACGTGAAGTTAAGGACAGTCCCCTCTGGAGACCTGCCACCATTGTATCACTTAAAAGAGTGATTGACTCTGCTCCAGCTCACTTGCAGAATTCCCCAGTTGCACCCTGGGGAGCTGTGTATGATCAAGGTGCACACATTACATCTGGTTGCTTTCCACATCTGCAGTTGGCACCTTGTGTTTAGATGTGTAAATACTTGATGAGACCAGGCCAATTATCTTGTTAGAGGTTCCCGCATTCTTTTTTTTTTTTTTAAGGTTTATTTGTATTGCAAAGTCAGATATACAGAGAGGAGGAGAGACAGGAAGATTTTTCCGACCAATGATTTACTTCCTAAGTGACCACAATGGCGGGTGCTACGCCGATCTGAAGCCAGGAGCCAGGAACGTCCTCCAGGTCTCCCATGCGGGTGCTGGGTCCCAAGGCTTTGGGCCATCCTCGACTGCTTTCTGAGGCCACAAGCAGGGAGCTGGATGGGAAGCGGGGCTGCCAAGATTAGAACCAGCGGCCATATGGGATCCCCGGGCATTCAAGGCGAGGACTTTAGTTGCTAGGCCACCGTGCCTGGCCCTAGATGGTCCCACATTCTAGAGTTGACTGATAGTCTTTTACTGTTGCCCATATTTGCTTGTAAATTAGAATTTAGACCTAGGATAGAACTGCCCAATAGAAATGTGATGTCAGCCATGTTTCATCTAGATTTTCTTCATTTTAACTTTGTTAACAAAAGCAAGTGTCATTTTAATAGATTTCTAATTATCTACAATAAAATTTTATTTGATATATTTTTGCTATTCCCAAAGCATTATTTCAGTTTTTGGTCAATATTGTAAAAATTTTAATGAGGCACTTTTCTTTTTCAAACAAAATTTTCAGAATCACTGAGTGGACCAGCTGTGTACCCAGCACTGAGCAGCGCTGGCTTTTCTGCAAGGCCTAGAGACTAAGTCTGACTCAGGGACAATGTCTTTGGCAGAACATTTGGTAGCAAATGCATGACTTTGAACTCCTGCGAATTGCTGAACTCTGAATATGCTTCTCTTCTTTTTTAGGCTCTGGATGCTGTGGGATGGAGCAGGTGTGCCGAGGGTGAGGACCCACGCTCTGGGATCCATTCATTTGCTGCCTGCCTTAGCAAGATCGTCAGCTTGAGCAAACTTGGCCCAGGATGAGGATGCCTGTGGGCCTCCCGCTGCTGTTCCCCCTCTGGGGGAGGACCTTCCTCCTCTTCCTCCTGTCTGCAGCTGTGGCTCAGTCCCGCTGGCCCAGTGACCCCTCAGAGCCTGTCAGGGACTGGGAGAACCAGCTTGAGGCGTCCATGCACTCCGTGCTGTCAGACCTGCACGAGGCGGTCCCCACAGTGGTTGGCATTCCTGATGGCACAGCTGTGGTCGGGCGCTCGTTTCGAGTGGCCATTCCAACAGATCTAATTGGCTCCAGTGGAGACGTCATCAAGGTGAGATGGATAAATGAAGAGGAGTTCAAGTTTTCTTGTCTTCTGTTTTAGATTTGGTGCCTTTTCCTTCCCAGTTTGAAACACTGCCCCAGGGGTTCCAAGCTCAGTTCTTCCAGTTCCAGCTCAGGGTGGCTCAGGAAAGTCACAGTCACTGATCCTCACGGGGATTCCTGTGTATCTTATAAAAGGGTCCTAGGCTGTATTCTTTGTATCATCTTGAGGCTGTCTTCATACAAAAAAAATTTTCTTGAACATACTATAAGGAATAGAGTGGTTAAATGCTGCATTCACATGGGAATACCCGAGTTTGGTTTTCTCAGCTTCCTGGGGACCAGCAGTGATAGTTCAGGTAGTTGTGTTCCTGCCACAACCATGGGAGACTAGATTGAGTACCCCACTCGTACCTGTGTCAAATGCCCTGGCCGTGGCAGGTGTGTAGGATGACTAGCAGGTGAAAGCTCTGTCACTATCTTTCTCTCTCTGTCTCTCAGAAGAGAAAAAAAAAAAAAAGATGTGATATTCTGCTCTGATTTGGCAGTTTTTATTTATTAATGTGTTTTATCACTTAGTCAAGATGGCAGGTTTACTCCATTTCCTTTTGGGAAAGGGGGCATCTCAAACCCTTGTTTGCAAGAGTGTCTTAGCTCACTCAGGGTGGGAGCCAGGTGAAACAAGAGGCCTTTGTGTGAAGATGCAGCGTCTGACTGTGTGTTGAGCATTGGAATTTCTTCTAGCACCTTAGTGTGCAGGCAGGTGTTGTGACCTGAATATTGAGTAAGATTTGCCTTCCAAAGCTCATGTAGATGTCTAAAATGGAAAACCTTAGGTTAATGGTTAATGAGTTAATGGTTAAAAAATTACAGCTGAGACTGTTGTTAATTTTTTCACATGACAGCCATTATTTTTCTTTTTTTCATTTTAAAATAAAGAAACCATGGGTTATACAGAAACAGGTGACTTTTTTTTAAAGAGTATTTATTTTTATTTCAAAGGCAGATTTACAGAGAGAAGGAAGATCTTCCATCTGCTGGTTCCAAATGGCTGCAACAGCTGGAGCTAAGCTGATCTGAAGCCAGGAGCTTCTTCCAGGTGTCCCACATGGGTACAGAAGTCCAAGAGCTTGAACCATCCTCTGCTGCTTTTCCCACCGATAAGCAGAGGGCTTGATTGGAAGTGGCGCAACAGAATGTGAACTGGCAGCAATATGGAATGTCAGCGCCACAGGTGGAGGCTTAGCCTATCATGCCATGATAACGGCCCCCAAAACAGGTGGTCTTTTCCCCCAAGATTGCTTGCTGCTTCAAGTAAACTCCTTTACAAAAATAAACAAAAAACAGGTGGTGGACCAGATTTAGTTCATCGCCGTAGTTTGCTGACTACTACCCAACAGCATAGAGGTGTGCCTTGAAATTCAGTTAAAAATACTCTTTTTTTTTTAAAGATTTATTTTTATTATTTTTTTTATTGGAAAGGCGGATATACAGAGAGGAGAGACAGAGAGGAAGATCTTCCATCCAATGATTCACTCCCCAAGTGAGCGCAACGGCCGATGCTATGCCAATCCGAAGCCAGGAGACTCTTTCAGGTCTCCCACACAGGTGCAGGGTCCCAAAGCTTTGCACCATCCTCGACTGCTTTCCCGGGCCACAGGCAGGGAGCTGGATGGGAAGTGGGGCTGCCGGGATAGAACCGGCGCCCATATGGGATCCCGGGCGTGCAAGGCAAGGACCTTAACCACTTGCGCCACTGCGCTGGGCCCGAGTTAAAAATACTCTTAAGAGCTATAATTCATTTTAGTACTTTTCTGTCAGCTCAGCATTTTAGACTTCTGCTTGCATGTAGTGTTCTGACTACCTGTAAATATATTTCACTCACCAAAATATACAACTTTTTTAGCATAAATATTGGTGGCTAAGAATTCAGGAATTCAAGGCTTGTTTGGGGTCCATCTGATGTCTTCATGGAGCAGCTCATCAGGGGTTGAAGAATCCACCTCTGCTTGCTGCTGAGGACTGAGCTGGGGCTGTTGGCCGTTGTTCCCCTCCTCTCAGATCTCTTCATGAACTGTGCTTGGGGTTTCTCACAATATAATGGTCATTTGTTTAATATTTATTTATTTGTCTATTTGAAATGCTGAGTGGCAGAGAGCAAGGAATTAGTTCACTTCTTCAGTGGTTGGAACATTTGGGCTGTGCCAGGCCGAAGCCAGGAGTCAGGAACTCCATCCTGGTTTCTCTCATGGGTGGTAGGGACTTGGGTACTTGAGTCATTACCTGTGGTTCTGACCCCACCATATGCATTAGCTTGATGGGAAACTGAGGCAGGTCCCAGACCCAGGCACTTTGATATGGGAAGTGGAGGTACCTGACTTTGATTTAACCCTTTGTGCCACAATTCCTATTCATAGCTAGATTTTTAAGATTGCATATTCCAAGAAATGAGAAGAGAAGCTGCCAGTCTACCTTAAGGCTTAGATTGGGAAGCTTGCACAGCAGTATTTCCTTTGTTCAGACCATCCTTCCACCTTCCCCTTCTCTGACTTGTAAGTCCCAGATGTCCAGATTAGAAATGGTTGCTAGTTGAGAGATGAGTCTTTGTTTTTCCTCTAATCTATTTAGGTGAATCTGTTCCTTTCCTGCACCCTTCCAGGGCTCCTTTCCTTTCTGCTCTGGTCTCTTGTCGTTCCATCTTGGCTCATTCTCAACGTGGTCCTGTGGTCTCAGGAGCAGCTGACATAGCTCTGTTCCATGAAGTGTTTTGTGTGACTAAAGATGGGAGCTCCACTGAGTGACTAGCCTCGTCTTCAAGCAGAGAAAGGTTCTGAGGGCATTGCTGGCAGGCTGACCTGGAGACAGTGGTCACACCCCTATCTTCTCTGATCAGGATGTTAGAAAAATATTAAGATTTGGGATTGGAATATATGGATAGGGCAACTTCTGATTGCTGAGGCCTGTGGCGTTGCCCTATATGAGATCAATGTAGGCAGAACCCTGACTTTTGACTCTGGCCCTCTCTACTCCCCGGTTTTTTATTTGTGTGTCTATGTGTGGAGGTACATATTTGGTTCTGGGTGTCATCTCTAGTCATAGTTCTTTGTGTATATATGACCCAGGTACTCAGTGTGAATCTAGTTGAAACTGCTTAGGCCAATTTAATGGTAGTTTGAGGGTAATTTAGGACAGCATTGTGGCAAAGCAAGTTAACCTGCTGCCTGTGACACTGATATCCCATATGAGTACCAGTTCAAGTCCTGGCTGCTCTGCTTCCAATCTAGCTTCCTGTTAATGCACCAGGGAAAGCAGCAGAAGATGGCCCATGTGTCTGAGCCCATGCTACCCAAGTGGGAGTGTTGGGTAAAGTTCCAGGTTCCTGGCTTTGGCCTGGTCCAGACTTAGTTGTTACAGCCATTTTGGGAATAATGGAAGGCCAGTCTCCCTCTTACTCTGCCTTAGTAAGGGATGGGGTTGTGGTACATCAGATTAATAAGCTACTGCCAGTGAAGCTGGCATCCTGAAGTTTTAGTCTTGGCTGCTCCAGTTCTATCCATTTCCCTGCTAATGTGCCTGGGAAAGCCATGGAAGATGACCCAAGTGTTTGGGCCTCTGCCACCCAAGAGGGAAACCTGAATGGAATTCCAGGCTTTTGTATTTGTTTGTCTGTTTTTTTTAAGATTTATTTTTATTGCAAAGTCGGATATATAGAGAGAAGAGACAGAGAGGAAGATCTTCCATCCTATGATTCACTCCCCAAGTGAGTGCAACGGCCGGTGTTGTGCCAATCTGAAGTCAAGATCCAGGAACTTCTTCCGGGCATCCCACACGGGTGCAGGGTCCCAAAGCTTTGGGCCGACCTTGACTTCTTTCCCAGGCCACAGGCAGGGAGCTGGATGGAAAGTGGAGCTGCCGGGATTAGAACCGGCGCCCATATGGGATCCCGGAGCGTTCCAGGCGAGGACTTTAGCCACTAGGCCACGCCGCTGGGCCCAAATTTCAGGCTTTTATATTTGGCCTAACCTGGTCATGGCTGTTGTGACCATTTGGAGAATGAACCAATGGATGGAAGGTCTCACTGTCTTACTGCCTTTCAAATAAGTAAATATATCTTTTATAAAAGAAATATTAACTTAGTATTCCTGACTTTCATGATTGGAACCTGCTGTTAAAGAATAGAAGGGTGAGGTTTTGGGGAGAAATTATCGGGAGTGCAGCAGAATTCTCGTGGAACTCGTAAGAGATCCAGTTAAGGGGCACAACCTGATTTCATGTGGTTTGCAGAGTGTTTGCCTAAGGTTTGCACATAATCCTCATGCTATCCTGGCAAGCAAGATGCTTGTCTGACACTGAATAGAGTGATGGTTTTGTAAGGTGTGTTTCTTGCCTCTGGCATCAGCTTCACAGATAGATCCTCAGTATCCAAGCTCCACATTGGTTACCTTTGTTCCCATGTCCATTAGAATGTTTTACAGGGATTAGTCTTGACCAGACGTGCGTTGAACTATTTGAGCAAGCTGGATATTTGCTGTATCTGGCAGAAAGACATATAACAGGCTTATTCAGCAACAGAAGTAAAGAGATTTTCCTGGGAAAACAGGATTTTATTTGAGCATATTTATCTCTGGAGAGCAGACTGCTGAATAGCCAATGAACCTGTAGAAAAACATGAGGAAATATGACTTCATCCCATTCTCAGCCATCGGAACAGCACAGCCAGGATGTCAGGTACCTGAAAGCCTGCTCGTCGTCCTTCAATTTTGATGGCACCTCTAAAACGTTGAAAAGGTCTCAACATTAGAGGAATGTTGTGTTTTGTTTTGTTAAGATTTATTTATTTTTATTGTAAAGGCAGATCGATAGAGAAAAAGATCTTCTGTCTGTTGGTTCACTTCCCAAGTGGCCAAAACAGCCAGAGCTGAGCCAATTTGAAGTCTGAAGCCAGGAGCCAGGAGCTTCTTCTGGGTCTCCCACACAAGTACAGGGTCCCAAGGCTTTGGGCCGTCCTTG